ACTCAACCTTTGTGCATTAAGGGGGCATTTGGTTTAGGAGTTCATTTTAAATCTTAATTCCAGGGAATGAAATATTTCTACCCTGCATATGGATGCGTCCAAGGGAAGGGTATGAAAAATTATTCCATGATTTTTGAGTTCCCTTCCCATGAAAATGTCCTCAGGGAGTGAGTTGAGCTCATTTCGAGTTCATTTCTAGGCTCTAGTATCCTGAAAGGACCCGTATACCCACCCTCGTTGTCATCCATGTTGTTACCCATTAACATAACTTTCACCTTTTATCCGGGTTTAGGATCGGCAATGTATACTTGTATAGCATGTAACACACATAAGCAGAAAGTTGGACGAGTTGACACACTAGACAAAATAATATTAGGGATGAATACACTAAGGAGAAAGTCAGGGTAGCTCCTATTGTACAAAAGATGGTAGAATCGTACCTTAGGTGGTTTGAGCATGTATGAAGGAGACCGTTAGAAGCCCCGGTAAAGAGAGTAGATCAGATGGAGGTTAGTCCAATTTCTATAGGCAAAGGGAGACCAAGAAAAAACTGTAGGTGAAACAATTAGGAAATATTTAGAGATTGATGATTTTTCAATGGACACCTTATAGGAGGTTACCCATTAATATTTAGAGATCGATTTATGAATTATGATAGAGTATTATGTCATGGTATGATCCTTGTAGCCGACCTCACCTAGTAGGACCAATGCTTGATTGTTGTTGTTTTAGATTCCATTGCCAACTGCAACCCTTATAGTTTTTCTGCTGAGATCACCTTATTTTGGAAAATATGCATTTCAGTATTTTAACTTATGCATGATTAGTTTATTGTTTTTTTTTTGTTTTACTGTGATCCTTTGCTTCACAGGTTATCATCAACCATCAAGCTCTCCCTTGCCTTTTGAATCTGTTGACCAATAATTATAAGAAAAGCATAAAGAAAGAGGCTTGTTGGACCATCTCGAACATCACAGCTGGGAATAATCAGCAAATTCAGGTATGCTTAAAAGTTTCTAATGTATGCATTTTCTGAAAAATGTAATTTGATAATATTCTCTTTAGACTCTGATTGAATTCTGATGATTAACAGACTGTAGTTGAGGCTAATATAATTGGCCCTTTGGTCAACCTACTTCAAAATGCTGAGTTTGATATCAAGAAAGAGGCAGCTTGGGCTATCTCAAATGCTACGTCTGGTGGATCTCATGATCAAATCAAGTACGTGTAGAACTTACCTTTGTAATATTCCCTAGGAGGTTATTATGGTTATAATATTTTTGTCGTTGCAAGACATGAATTAATTTCCTGGTTGACAGGTACCTGGTAAGTCAAGGGTGTATCAAGCCGTTGTGTGATCTTCTCATCTGTCCTGATCCTAGGATCGTGACAGTTTGCCTGGAAGGCCTTGAAAACATCTTGAAGGTCGGGGAAGCTGATAAAAATATGGGCTCTACTGGTGACGTGAATCTGTATGCCCAAATGATTGATGATGCTGAGGGATTGGAGAAAATTGAGAACCTCCAGAGTCATGACAACACAGAGATTTATGAAAAGGCAGTGAAAATTCTGGAGACATACTGGTTGGAGGAAGAAGATGAGACTCTGCCTCCTGGTGCTGCTGTTCAATCAGAGTTCAACTTTGGTAGCACTAATGCTCCCTCTGTGCCTTCTGGTGGATTCAACTTTAATTAGCGTTGATATTCATGCTTTACTGGGGTAACGTCCTCTGCTATATTTGGCCTTGTTATGGTTTCTGTTGAAATTATTGACAGGACCTGGTAAATCTGTGTTAATTTGCATGATGTTTATGTTTTCTTCAATGTTTTGATATTGATTTAAATTTTGTTAAATGCAGGAGTTTTGGCTGGTCTATCAGTAAAGTCCTCTCGTGCTGTGGGACAACAGTTGCAGATTTAGTCATTATCTTTTCATTGTCCTTGGGTGCCTTGGTAAATATAATGTGGCCGGACTGGCTCTGGTTTTTGCAATGTCTGGTTTTACATGTTATGGAGACATATGGTTTGTGGATTAATTTTTTTTGCCAGCTTAGAGAATACTGGAATTTTGTTTATGTCAAATTTATAGAATTTGTTCAATCTCGTGATTGTTTCTTTGCTTGACGACAGAGATTGGAGTGAGTGAGTCCAGTGTGGTTTTGTTTTGGCAAATGCCAAATGCTACTGTATGTTCTTCATAATTATTGTGGTTACAAGGAACGTATACTCCTTACCTTGTAAGGGTTTTTGTCTACTAAATTTACCTTCGGGTATTTTGATTATTCGTTATGTTATCTAGGTCCTGGTCCAGGTGCATAATTTGTATTATTACGTTTAGTTTGGTGATTACAGTATATTCAAAAGCAGAAAATATTTACGGTTGTAACCATGGCTTTCACTTGTCTTCTTGACGGTCTCTATTTAATTTGCGTGATATTCTCATAAAATTGTTCTTTTTTAATTTCTTCTCTATCAAATGCACATGTTTGCAAACTTAAAAGTTTGCATGAAATTGATTTTGCATTCTTATGCTGGTCGTTGAAACAGAGGAGAAAGGGATATCGGGGCGAGTAGTTAAAAGAGAAAAAGCACATTTCTCTCTTAGTTTATAAGAGCAAATTTCTTTCTCTTCTCCTAATGAGAAAGTGGGACAAGGAGGAGTCTGCATCCTCTCCATTACTGGAGATGCCAGTACAAAACTGCGATTATGACACGTGGCAAAGTCCATTTTTGACGGTCATGATTTTAAATTATAAAACAATATATTTTTAAATTAATTAATTCATGGAAAATGGCAATCATACCCTTCATTCTCTCTTTTTCCCTCTTTCAATTTTGAATCCCTGTCGAGATCTCTCTCCCAATGGCTATTGTCTCATATGCTCATGGCTTCTTCCCAACTCCTTCTTCAGGTTTTTTCTTCTTAATACCAAAACCAAAACACAAAGAAAACCCTTTTGATGATACTGTGAGTTTAGGAGCAAACATATATCTCTCCGTTTTATTTGAAAAGTTTTGTCCTTCTTCTTCTTCTTCCCCATCAATTCCAAAAACCCTTTCTATCTGAACCTCAAAACACTCATAACTCCCACTCTAATAATTCACCTTTTCCGGCATGACGGCAATTACGGTGTGACAGCCACAGGAGGAAGGTTTCAATGAGATCTGTGGCCTCCTTGAGCAGTAGATTTCTCATCTTTCTTCATCTGATAAGTCTCAGATTTGGAACCACCTTCAGAACTATTCTCACCTCCCTGACTTCAATAATTTCCTCGCTTTTATCTTCTCTCGTGCCGAGATTTTTTTCTTCTCCCCCCTTTGCCATTTTTTCTTTACATTTTTGTCTCATATGCATGTATTACCATGTGTTTCATTATTAAGAAGAAAAAACCTGAAGAAGGAGTTTGGAAGAAGCCATGAGCATATGAGACAATGGCTATGGGGAGAGAGATCTGGAAAGGGATTCAAGATTGAAAGAAAGAGAGAATGAAGGGTATGATTGCCATTTTCCATGAATTAATTAATTTAAAAATATATTATTTTATAATTTAAAATTCTGGCCGTCAAAAATGGACTTTGCCACGTGTCATAATCACAGTTATGCACTGGCCTCTCCAGTAATGAAGAGGATCCAAACTCGGCAAGGAGAGCCTAGAGAGTCAAAATATATCTCTTTCTTTTTCATTTTTTTAATACAAAAAATATTTTATTGTTCATTTGTTTTTCTCTTTTCAACTCGTCTTTCATATTTGTCTTTTCTTATTTTCATCTCTCTAATAAGAGGAACACATTTTTTTTGTTTTGTAAAACCTAATCATGTGATTGTGACATGATCATAGTAAATTAGGTTTGTTTCCATTCCAAAACTCGGATATGAACTCTCTTTCCGGGTTATGCATGGTTATCTATTTGGTTGATATTAACAAAAAGAAAAATAATATATTAATCTTCTTATAAACTTTTATACAAAAAAAAAGTAACATGTATTAGAATGTTGTATTTTGTTTGTTAATAAGATTTACAAGTGATAGCATCACTTTTTTATAATGTGGAAAGATTTGTATGTTGTATATATCATCACTCATTAATTATGAATGTTAATTTATGTCATACCATTGAGCTAAGAGATTACGTTTTAGAATTTAAATGCAATCCAGAGTCAATTACACAAATATTCACATAAATTGTTGCCCAATCTGCACTCAGTCAATTACACAAATATTCACACTTCAAATGCAATTTTGCTTGACCCAACCAAATGCAACTGCTTAATAGATACTCAAACTTAAAACCTCTGATTAAGGTACAACAATTTTTATGTGAGACTCAAACCATTTTGTTATGGTATAGAATGTATGGTTTGATAGAGGAACTGAAGATGTGGAATCAAAGACATAAAACAGTGATTCAGTCACGAATATTGTTTTTTCATTCTGAGACTGTAAAGTGAGATTGCACTTTGTGAATTTATGTCCCTAACTGCTACTCAGACAGATTACACAGTTTCCAAACTCTTGTATGCCCTCAACACTATGATCCTAATTCAGATATTCATGAAAATGCTACTCAGATGATCAGCAGATATGATGTTCCAAGGTAATATAAATCTTTATGGCTTTTGTATACTTCGGATTCCATGGATTTACAAAATATTATTTTTTTGTCTTCTCAGCACAAATTAGTGAATTAATGTTGATAAAGTGAGCATGGGAAAAGCAGCTTAAAATTGAGAAACTATGCTTGTAGACTAGATAAGCAGAATATTATACCATTATCACTCACTATTGCAAATATTTAATAGGGATATAAATATAATCTATGACACGTATATCCATTATTATCCAACCAACAATTAATGATGATATTAGATGTGAGCACACATTGTGTGGGAACTTGAGTTACTTTTACTTCCATGCTTATTTACTATGATCTGAAGTTGCTTTTTGTGGTTGTGTAGAAAGTAGAAAGTAGATAGGAAGGAAACATAATAAAAAATTGAAATATGCTTTCATTGAGAGTTGAACTCAAGACCTCCCGCTTACTAAACGGGTGCTCTAACCAACTGAGCTATGAAAGCTTGTTGTTATAATACGTCTACTTCATTTATCTGAGAATCAAGAAACGTTTTACACTGAAATATTTTTAATTTTATTTTAATCACTAGTGATACTAATTTTTTTTAACGATGATTATGTTTACAAAATGTCTATTTTCAATTGTGGTTTTAAAAAAAATATTGAATATAATACCCAATGACAAATATTAATTATTTTGTATGATCTACTATAATCCTATATAGTATTATTTTTATTTAATCTAAAAATTAATGTGTCATCTTTTCTCTAGACAATTTATGATAAGTTTGGTTTGAAGCTTAATGTAAAAATTCAACTACATTTATTCTCCTTTATTAAATTATTGAACAAATGGTGCAAGGAAAATAACCCAACTTAATTTATTTCATTTTTTTTGGGTTTAGATACATGTATTTATCATTAGAGATAAAGTTAATACATTTTCTCCTTTAAAATGCATGCGGGGAACCTAGACATAATTGGCAATGGAAGTTAAAATATCAAACATTTTCTTTCTTACCGTAACACATCATCTCTATAGGTCTCTTTGCAAGTTTATTAGAGGGAAATTGAGGAGAGAAATAGACTTGATAACATGAAATACACTTATGAATTTCCGAAGCCTTACATTTTCATTTCATCCATTCAAAACTGAACTCGCAAACAATGTTGTATTCCTCTAACACATCTCCTTCACCCTTACCTCCCCACTAGCTATAAAAAATTACAAGACAACTAATATGGTCTCTTGACCCAGTAAATATGGCTTGGCTATTACTCCAAAACTGCTTGATCTTCTATAGGACAAGCTGCATTACTATTTCCAAGCAGGTGGTAGTGTCAGTGTAAAGGTCATGCTAATGAGCAATGATCAATATGTTTTTAAAATATATTGAATATCACCGTGAATCACAAAATAATTTCTTTAATGATTAAGAGAACCAGCATAACTAAGCACATGATAAGAAGCGTCGTAGCACACATTACCATGCCCCCCTTTTTCTGAGTTCTCTCAGCCTGCATTTCCAGTAAACAATGTAATTATCATATAAGAGATAAATAAAATGAAATAGAGAGGAAAAAAAGAAGATTGAGATACAGAAGTTAACTAAAATAGCACACAAGGAAGAGAAGTAGGACCTTCTGGAGCTGTTTAAGGCCATCCTCAACTGTGGTTGCAACATTCTGAATGTTGTAGTCTATTCTATCAACAATGGTTCCCTAAAAATAGAGGATGTCGGTTTTTAAAGGGTGCAGAATGAAGAAAGGTATCAACTCCCTATAGAAGGAGGCTATTTGCTGACCTGGTCTATCACTAATACCGACAAATCCTTCATAATCTGAGCAAGCTCATTTACAGATTCCACAACCTACAACAACAAATAACTTTTTAACTGCATAAATTTACACATCATAAAGTCAGCAAACATCAGTAATAACAGTGCACATGCCACTTTTGCTTACTTGTTGGATCTCCTTTTCTCTTTCTACAGTGAATGCTTCACTTTTTTTCAGCTTGGCCATCTGATGCTCATTAAATATCTACATATAAATAGTACCAGCAATCAATTGGTAACAAATTTTCAAGGCAAACATAGCCAGTATTGGGCATAACCATATAGATAATAGCTTCTGTCAATTAATGTGGCAATGAACCAAAAGCTATATAACAGGATAAGAAAAATGTATTAGCCCACCTCCCCCATTATCCCAAAACACAGATGTGGACATAAAAGAAAAACCAAATACCATATTATCCAAGTCATCATCTTCATATCTGGCTTTACTCCCATTCATGTTGATCTCAAGATCGATCCCATCTTGACCCTGCATCATCATAAAATGATAATAAAAAACTTCAAAACATATTTTCCATAACTTATTTAATGCTATGTATAGAATGGAAATTGAAATAATCTACAGACAAGAGACAGAGAGCAAAAGAACAAATAAAACGAGTATAATACAATATTCCATCAAAATAAAAGACCAAGTATACTTCATCACATGTTCATTGTTAGTTATGGAAAGGACAATTAAAAATCACTTGCCAATAACAAAACAAAGCGGTAAGACATCAGACTATCAGAGATGCAGTTTTATTCAATAAAAGAACCTAGATTACTAGAAGTGGGTGTATAATTTGATAAATAAACTAAATTAGAATTGAATGTATAATTTGATAATCTAAAGTAATTGAGTTGAGTTACATGGTAATATTACTTTCTTGGTTTATCAAATTGTTGCCATAAATAAATTGTGGCAGTATAAAAGTAAAAAAAAAATGCCAACATTCTTCTTCGAATCTTCATTAATCAATACAAAAAAGTAAACAAAAAATCTCTTCCCTCACCTCTTTTTGCTGCCTAAGGCACTTCAAATATGTTGATTGTTTCCTGCGGAGCTCTACAGAGAGGTTCTGAAGGTCAGTAGCAAGAGAACGCTGCATGCGACACACACAAAATAAGAAAAAGTTCAACAAACTACAAACAATATAAGGAATAAAGAAGAAACATGAAAAAACATATTCACAAACAAAGACTAGACAGAATAAAGTGAAGGCACCATCATACATTCAGGGATCAATATCCCAGCCAGCTATGTAGCAACTGTCACTTGTCTCTTCCACCTCATATGGGTGCAGAAATAATTGCATTTTGGAGAATATTTCACCATCAATAAGCAAACAAAGGATAAAAGGAAGATGGATGTCTACATGCGCTTGGATATGTCATGGGATGTTATTGTCTTTAAGGGCTCTCTCTGAACTCTATAAGGCATAAGTCCATTGATTTCATGGGCAGCTCACAGTTGTTTACAGGGAGTTCCCATCTTATATCATAGCCAACCCAACATAGTGGCAAGGAAGATCAACATGTTGTTGTTTACATCTTATATCGTTAGTATTATATGACAGTTCTGAAGTGATACCTGCACATTTTTCCTGACATTGGAATCCTCAGAAGGCCCGGCAGCAGAGAGTCGTCGCAGTCCCCTCTCTGATTTCTTTATCAAGTCTGTTATCTCGCGTGTAAGAGACTCAATAGCATGTTGATCTTCCTTGCCATCTCCAAATGATGGCATTAAGGCCTTTGCGTGAGCATTGGCCAGCTCTGCCATTTTTGTACGTGCACGTTGCACATATGCTGATATTTCTTCAGATACATCCACCCACGCTGGAGGTAGCCCCACAGTAATAGGATGTAAACCCTTACTGTTTCCATAAAAACAATGAATAATGCAGCAAGTCTTCTATAACTTGAAATAACATGCGTGCATGTGGGAAAAAATACAAAAAGAATTGAACTATGCATAATTTTATAAACAAGTGTCCAATTGTCGAAGAAAACCTTTGAAATTAATAATTCTAATCCAAGAAAAGGGGGAAAATCTTCACTAATATTCAACATGTGTACAACATACCCCTTCAACAAAAATGTGTAATACGTACAGTTTACAATTAATCTATCAATACACAAAAATCAATTCAGTAATGCCATGTATTATTCATTTCCTAATATTCTGAGCTATGCGGTGTTTGTTTAAGCTTTTATCACACAGAAAAAGTGATTATTTTGATTAAAAAAATCACTTCTAACACTTGCACTTTTGTTTGGTCGGGATTTTACAAAAAAAAACAGAAATAGCAATAAAAGGTGAAACAGCCTTTTTTTAGAATCTATATTTTTGTTCAGGTTCTCAAAAAATCACTTCTATAGAATCACACAAATGGCCCCTAAAACTCATTCCAAGCACCGTTCCATATTACATAAGTTTCAACCTTTTAAAGAAATGTGAGTAATCCTATAGACTTATAGAAAATATAGATCCTTCTCGTGTTCATGAATCATTGCAAAAGAAATGAATAACAAAATGCGATGAATTTGAATCCATGCAATTGAAAATTTGATCCACTATTCAACACTCTTTCATTTATAAGATGTTTGAAGAGCACACCTTGAACTACCGGGATCCTCGGTGCTAAGCGGAGCATAAGAACGATTAGAGTTGAGAAGTGAGGTGCTGACCAATTCGATTACGGGGCCGCCGCCGGAAGATGTGGAAGCCGACGGCGAAGAGTATGAAGGAACTCGAACACTCTTCAATGCATCTCTGTGCTTTCTGAAAATCAAACTGCGATTCCTCGTCGCCATTCAGATCCTATGGATCTGATTCTGAAACTGGATCAACGCAATTTTTTTTGCGCTTGTTGGAAAATGGAAATGATTCCCATGTTCGTTTGGGAACGGTCGAAAGGTGAAGGAAATTCTTGTGGAAGTCATAGAGGATCGGTGATCACGTGATCTAATTTCATGACCAAACTGAAAGTCACGTGCCCTTACCTACTTTGCTTGATAATAGATAATAGATTCATTTATAAGTTTTTTAAACTTACTCCACATCTTGGTCGTCAATTCTAAGAGAATCTAATTGTAGACATATACTCATCAATTCAAATTATTGACATTTTCAAAATATGAAGTCAGTTTTCTTGGAATAAGTGAATTTCTACCTATGTAATATAATAAGCTTCTACTTTTTACTTAGTCAGTTTTTTGTCTTTTATAAGGATGACAATGAAAACCGAACCCGCGGGTACCCGCCTGAACCCAACTTGAATATAATGGGAAAAACCCGATGTGAATGAGTTCAGGTTCGGGTTTTACCCGAATTCAAATTTCGGGTTCGGTTTGGTATTAACAATATAAAATCCGAACCCGATTAATATATATAAAACTATAAAATTACATATAAATACATACATAAAGCTATATATATATATATATATATATAAATATTTGTTTTTTGGGTTTTTTTCGGGTTCGGGGATGATATCATTGTTTTCAACCCCGCTTAATTCGGGTTCGGGTTTTGAGTTTCAGGTTTGGGTAAGCACAAACCCGACCCTGACTCGCCCCGTTGCCATTCCTAGTCTTTTATCTCCTTTGATCAAGTTGTGTCCAAGTTAGTAATCAATTAATTACATATTGTACCTATTGTTAATTTTATTAACATTAATAT